TTCTCGCCGCTTCCCAGCACCAGTCGTGAGCAGGATAGTCGCAGACACCCGGCAGATCGCCAGGGACCTCTAGTCCGAGCTCGGAAGCACGATTCCTGAGATAATCGACAAAGTGGTTCCGGACGCTGTCGTCGCGCTCCCAAGAAGCCATGTCCCACAGCTGTCTGGACGGTTCCGGCGCCAGCTTGTCCCACAGCTTTGTGTAGTTGCCAGCAATGCACGCCATGGCCACCTGGAGGTGCATGTCCGGCCGGAGCTTGGCGAGGGCCTCCAGCGTGCGCTCGGCGGGGATGAGCGGCCACCAGATCATGCCTGGCATCTCGTAGCAGTTCTCTTCGGGATTGGGATCGGTGGCCGTCATGTTGGACAGGTCGTTGACCATGATGAAGCGCGCGAGGGTGGCGGCTCGGAGATCTCGCGAGTTTTCCCCATCACGTGGCTGAAGCGACCACCACTTGGCAAAGGTGGTGTTGTGGTAGATGCCGCGCAGAACGGCGCCGTTCTCGCCCATGATCATCTCCGGCCGGCGCAGGCGCAGGTAGCGGTCCAGGTTGCCTTCGTACGCGGCCATGATGATCAGCGGGTCCTTGACCATGGTCGGCAGGTGCAGCGGCAGAGGCGTGTAAAACAGCTCGACGTGTTCCGGCGGCATCGTTCCCTGCTGCGCCGCAGTATATGATGCGTCCGTCGTGACGTCGCCAACGTGGGCGGTCTCGGTAATGTCGAAAGGAAACGCCTCGTTGTCCAAGTTAAAATAATAACCGGGCCATTTGGTCCAGTAGTCCTCCGGGCCGACCGTCACATCCAGTGTTGATAGGACGGCCGTGTCGCCGTTCATAAACGCCGGACACCGTGGGTTTTCGTGGTTGACGGTCCTGGTGTAGTCGTCCAAGACGGCGTAGCAGACCGGCTGCTCCATGATGTGCTCGAAGATGGCCTTGGATCCCGGGTTGTTCGCGCTTTGTTCTCTGGCCTCTTCGGCGATCGAGACCTCGGGAAGGAGGCCGAGCTCGTGATACAGCTCGTCGTATCCTGCCACGGCGCACGCGCGGCCCACGAGATATGCCATGTCGGGATACTCCTTTGCCAGGCGCCGGAGCGTCTTTTCGCTGGGCGTGTCGGGGTGCCAGAAACAGTAGGGCTTGGCGCGGTCCGTCTTCATCCTGGGGATCTGGTTGCTCATGATGAGCCGGGCGTTGCGTGCCCGCGCAAAGTAGCTCTCGGGCTGCTTCTTGCAGAGCTTCACAACCTCTGCAGACCTGGCAAACGCCTCGTGGTGCCGTATGCCGCGGATGGCGCAGCGGTAGAGATTGTTTTTCCAGTCTTCGGGAAGACGCTCCCCCCGCAAGGCGGCGCGGGCCTCATTGTGAAAGTAGGCATTTTCGTTGACGGATGGCGGCTTTTCGGACTTTTCTGGGTAGGGTTCCTCGAATGTGGTAAGGGAGGAGAGTAGATCGGCCATTTGGTGCGATCTGGAAAAGAAGCGGCAGCGGCTGAAGGTCTTTTGTGGGACAGAGCGGGATTTCCAGGTGTATTTCAACAAAATGGACAATTAGGTGTGAGGAGTGTCTGGTGTGCTTGATGTGAGGGAAGGAGATGAGGGGTCTTGGGACCTTTTT